CTCAGCTTTCCTTCCTTTCCAGGTGGAGGTGGAAGAGTTCCAGAACTACGAGAAGGCCTTGGGAGCCCTGACCGAGGCCTACAAGTGCATGTCCAAGGCAAAGACGCGGAGCCCAGCGGAGCAAGAGAACAAGCTGGCACACCTACAGACCAAGATGGCCCTGGTGAAGAGGTTTATTCAAGCCCGAAGGTGAGAGGGAGCCTTGAGGAGTTCTTCTCAACCTTGGCGGCCTTCTCAACCTTGCGTGGACTTCAACCCCCAGAATTCCTCAGCCAACAGTGCTGTGGCTGCCGTGCCAGCCGCCAGGATATCAGGCAGTGCTGGCTGGGGAATTCTGGGGGTTGCAGTCCACCCATCTTAAAGCTGCCAAGGTTGAGAAACACAGCTTTACGGTCCAGATAATCCTCAATTTATGACCACGATTGATTCCACGGAGAAGAAAAAGATCAACCAAGGAACCATTGTGCCAATGATTAGCGTCTGGTGTTTTTCCCTCCCCTGCCTAGACTTTACTCCGAGGACCCCAAAGAGGCCATCAGGCAGTGTGAGCTGCTCCTGGGAGAACCTGATCTTGAGACCACCGTCCGCCTGGGGGATGTACTGGGATTGCTGGTGGGGCATCATTTGCAGCTGCAAGAATTCCAGATGGTGAGCGTCTCCGGGGCCCACGAGCCACTTACATAATTCCCATTCAGCAGCACCCACAGTCTGCTTTGGAACTGTACCACTGCAGATCCCGGCATATTTAGGCATAGTAGGACTTCATAATTAACAGCTTCTCTCTGTTAAAAAAAAACCTTCAACGTTCCTAGAACATTATTCATTTTACTGTTTATCCCTGGCGTTTGGTTTGGGCAGGACAGGTTAATGATTCCCCTGACATTTTGAGTGCTTGAAAAGTAAACAAAATTACTACTGCTATTACAGGTAGTCCTTGATTTGAGAGCCCACAATTTTGTTAAGTTGCGAGACTCATACCCCAGGCCACCGGATTCAGTGTTACGACTTTTGCGGCAGTCGTTAAGCGAACCCTTTGTTCCTGATGGGGTGCTTTTTTTGCCCCCATAGCGTAAGCAAAAGCCCATTTCCAGCAAAACGTTAAAAAATCAGTCACGTTAACGTGGACCAGGGGCTGAGCACTCAAAATGCCGCACTGAAAATGGGGGTGACGGACATCAGAAGTTTAAATCTGGATCGTAAGTAGCTTTTGCAGTTCAGATTGTTAAAGTAGCTTTTTCAATTCGGATCGTAAGCAGCTTTTTCTAGGTTTTTCTCTATGTAAAGATAGGGAGATTCCAGATACACGAAATCCCCCGTTTGTTTTTTGCAGATTATTTTTTTTTTTTTTGCTGAATCTCCCAGGTGAGTCTCCCATCTGCCCTAAATAATTGTCAGCCGTCGGTGGCAGTCCTGGGGAAGAGGTACGAATACAGTAATCCGGGCCTCGCTGTGCTACCCATCGGACAGTATTCCGTTACCTCTTCTCCCCACCTGGATGGCTTGGGACAGAGGAAGTCAGAGGAAGCAATTATGTAGGGCCATCTGGAGATGATTCACACGCTTCCAACAGGAAGCATCCACATGGCCCACTTTCAAACAGGGAAGGCAGAATTACAGGCCAAAAGGAACGGCTGTTCTCACCCCCCCCCCCCCGTGCTCTCTCGTGTCTGAGCGAAGAAGAGATGGCATTAAAAAAATACAGCGAATTCAGGGCACATTATGTGCCTTTTTTTTTTTTTGCTAACTGTTGGAAGAGTTTGTAGTAAGACCGCTACGGCGAGTGCCACCTCTTTCCCGTTCCCATGGCTGTCCTGGATTATGGAGGAAGGATTGCATAAATGCTTTTAGTATCGTTCTTCTGTAGGCCTTCATCACAAAGGCTTACAGGTTGTGGAGAAATTGCTTTATGGAGTTGTGCGAATGGCAACTGTAAATAAACGTGGATGTTTAACTTAGAAAAAGAAAAAAAAGCAATTCCACAGGTTGGGTTGGAGACCGATTTATGGGTTAGCCTGTTGTGTGAAGCCAGACCACCGTCGATTGCTCTACGAGCCGCGGTTTGACTTGATGTCTCCTTTGTGCACAGACAGCTGCGTTGTTGACAGGAGAAATCAGTTCACTTCTCAGCTAAACACACCACAGGGTAGTCCTCGATGTGCTATTCAGCCCCAAATTTCTGTTGCTAAGGAAGACAAGTGAATTTTGCCCCATTTTACGACCTTTCTTGCTGCGGCTCTTAAATGAATCACTGCAGTTGTTAAGTGAAGTGAATCCAGCTTCCCCATTGACTTGGCTTGTCAGAAGGTCACTAAAGGGCATCCCATGGCCTCGGGACAGTGCAACCGTCATAAGTACGAGCCAGTTACCATGCATCCGAATTGGTGACCCTGGGGATGCTGCAACGGTCGTAAGGGTGAAAAACGGTCATAAGTCACTTTTTTCAGCGCTGTTGTAACTTCTCTCACTAAGCAAACGGTTGCAAGTTGAAAGCTGGCAGAGGCATCTCCACCCACGTAGTTCTCTGGGTTTGGGGCGCAGACGGTAGAACGGCCTGTGAATAACACACACACACACCCTTCCTCTCATTAGGCCTACCGGTACCTGGAAGAAATGCGGAAGAAAATTCCCTGCGTGAATCTCAACTACTACGTGACCCAGCAGACGGTCGAGGCCGTGCACCGAGGGCTGGGCATCCCCCTCAGCCGAAACACCGCTCCAGAGAGAGTTCGCCACAACAGCGTGGAGGACAAGGAGATCGAAGAAGTGGCCGACGAAGCAGAGCCCTCCTGAGCAGATCAGCCGGGAGTCTGGGGCCCACGGCACCGTTTTTCTGACAATGTTGTTGGGAGAAAGCCAATGGACTCAGCCTTGCTTTGTAAGCCCAGGCAGCAGTCAATCTTTGGAATCCGGGATTTGTTCGGCATTCCCAAAGCCACAGGTTTTACATTCCTTTTCAAACATTCAGAGACGGTTTCGGAGATATCTTCACCTTTGTATTAAATATTTTAGATAACACGGTTCTCTTGCGTTGTTTTGTGCGGCATGACATCTGAAGAACAAGAGATTGGGAATGGCGGAAGGGTAATCAAAACAGCGGGCGTAAACTTAATTCCAGGCAACCTTAAAAGGCTCCAATCTGGGTCCCTCACCGGACCAGAGGTTTAGTCTTCCGAGCTTTCGGACTCGTGCTGGGAGCCCATCCTCCTTGCTACCAGAAT